TTTGCATATGTGGCGTTTGAAACAGAGGACCAATTAAAAGCAGCCAAAACCCAAACCTTTAAATTGGACAGGACGATGATCAAATTCGAAGACCAATTTGAGAAACTGTGTTACAAGTGTGAACAGAGTAGGCATATTACTTTTCAATGTGAGAAGGTAAGAGTGCAAAGAGATAAAGCACTAGCTCAAGCAAGGTTTGCATCAATCCAGTCAAGGTTCAGAAAAGGACCAGAAAAAGAAGCTTCTATATCTTATACAGAAATTCTGAGAAAAAGAAGCAGATCGAGATCAGTCTACAACAAAGAAAGAAGAGGAGAACAAGAAGGAATAAGAGAAAGACTAGACAGGTTAGAAGAATTAATTAAAAATATGAAAACAAAAATTAATATATTATGGAATTGGTGGAATGAGCCGCAAAAAGAGCAGGAGAACTAACAAACCAACAATAAGAGTACAGATGAGCAACAAATGCACTATCAAGATGCAGAAGAAATGTGTAGGAAAGAGAAAGAAACCCCTCTGGCAACATACAAGGCAATCAACAAGAAGGTGGTGGAAAGACAAGACAAACTAAAAAGGCAAATAAAACAGATAGAAAAAATACTAAGCGAACTTTTGGAAAATGGTCAGCTATCACCTAGTAAAAAGAGGCAACAACATGAAAGACAATAGAAAACATAAGGCCCAATAACAAATCCAAACAAGTATGACAGCACACCATAAGGATAAACATAATAACCTAAAAAATATCAACATGTACAAAGAAAAAAGAATAGACACAGAAAATATCAAAATTATGACAATAAACATGAATGGCTTGAATGAAAAGTTTAAGAAACAGCAATTACAACATTACTATCACAAAAACAATATAAATATAATAGGGATATCCAATACAAAATTCAAAACTCCGTAAGTGACAGTGAATCCACACTTGCATAAAAGATCCTTAAGAAGTCATGTCCCACTTGGCCAAAATGGCCCCTAGTTTTGGTAGTGTCCAACCAGCGGTCAAAACCGGAGCATTTACTAGGGAGTATGTGCTTATGTCGAAGATTCTCCTCTACTCATGTAATGGATTGAGAGAAGTGTGATGTGAAAGGTAATCTATATAAAAGATAATTAACAGTATAAGCCCCTCATAAGTATATAAGCCTTATAGGTTAGGTAGTTTAAAACTAGTAAGTAGGATTTCTATCCCCTATAGCCTTCTGATATCACAAAAAAAAGTCATTAAGTGATGGGTTTCTGGGTATCGGATGAAAGTTAATAGGTTAGCATTTAGTTGTAGTCAATATATTACAAAGAATGTTTGATGTAATATAATATTGAGTATCAATAAAGATTTGCATCTAATGTCGTTTAACTTTAAAAAAAAAAAAAAAAAAAATTCAAAACAACAACTAACAGGAAAACAATAGAAAACAAAAAATACAAGACTTACTAGGCAAACACAGA